TAATAATGCAGAAATACCAAAGTGTCTGATCGCATTTATCGAGCTGAAAGTCGAGTAATTAGCTTAATAATAGCTGCGAAAGCAGCCTTACAAACGCGCAAAACAACTAAAATATAAGTACACGGACTTTCTCCTCGCGTTTCCTATCATCGTTACGCATTAGATATTGTCGTGTTGTAAAAATACACGGCTTAGTGTTGTATAGGGAGTAGGTTAGCTTTATCTCGATTTGATGTACAATCATATTTGGGATTATTTTAATGAAATGAAATTGTCTGGGCGCACCGAGCGAGAAATTAAAGTGATAAGCTCTTGCGTGTGATTGGTAAGTTGGGCATTACGAGTGCATTATCGCAAGACTCGTGATCTTAAAATCTTATTTATTGAAATTGAGCTTCCGTATTGGTGAAAGTGGATCGCTTTCGTTCAATTTAAATGGAGAAAATGATATAATTTATATTATCGACTGGAGAGATTAATCGTTAAGATTGATGGATTCTTTTGTCATAGACTTAATGTCATCGATTTAGTGTAACGTTTAAGATTAATAATGAGCTTGTCAAAACTTGGTAGAAAAATGAAAAAATGAAGAATAAAGCGTTCATTGATTTAGTTTAAGAAGAAGCTCTTTATGATCTGAAGAAAAACAAATTTTTACATACAAATTGTTTTCTAACTCATATCTACTAGATATATCTACAGTCTTATTTGTAATGCTAAAGTATCGGGATGTCTGACTTTATGTTTTTTTTTTTTAATCTAATCGTCACTGGTATTACTAATATGTAAAAAAAAAAAAAAGCTTTGAAAAATTAATTTTATAAATCATAATTAATGTCACAACTCGTGAAAAATACTGTAGATTTTTTCACATTCGCTTTTCTATCTTTTATTGTTTTAACACTCTTCAATTAGCAGGCAATTATATATATATATATATATATATATGTGTGTGTGTGTGTGTATATATAATGGATAATTTACGTTACATTGAAATTAAATGCAATACTGTCCACATTTAAAATGATTTTTGTAAAAAAATTTTTCATTTATCGGCTATTGACTGCAAAAGAAACAAAAGAAAGATATTAATTTGGTAGTATTTGAAATGATGGCGATAAAGCAAAAAGGCGTATTTAATGTGATTATTCAGTAATATTTTACATCTCCTTCTATTTCTCGTTACAAATATTTCTTTACAATTGCTTATTCGTAATGTTATTTTCTCGTCAGAATCACGTTAACGTTCGCTTTACTCATAAGTTTGGAAGACCATTGCCATATACAAATTCGCACGAAATTCCTCTTTTCTTTTTAATAACTTATATAATGTCTAATATAGCTATTCATTTTTCGCGAATAATATTTAACTGTAGCCATGGATTTTTTGTTTTTTTTTTTGTTTTTTTGTTTTTTATATTATCCACATTGATGTAATCGCTCCAGAACGAAGAATAGGTTGCTGTTATATAAAAAATTTTTTTATTTACTTTAAATACAGTGTTCGGTGTTTCTATTAGAAAAGCCATTGTCTTGAGTTATTACCCATAGTAATGACATAAAAAGGAGAGAAAGTAGCTTTATTTAGAAAAAAATTACGGCATTAAAAATATCCCCCTCTAACATTGACAATAAAACACTTTTATTGAATTATTAAATACTATTTAACATTATTATGAATGAAATCATTGTATTAAAATACGTATGATTAATCGAACAAAAATATAAAGATTTTTTTTAAAACAAATTGTTCGTTTATCTTCAGTAGTTCAATAAGATTTTAGTCTGGCATAGTTTCACACGAATGAACTGCAAATTTTCTGCCACATATTTTCACTAATTCATTTCATTCTTAGTTACATTGTATTGTTAATTAAAATATTTAGAAAATTGCTATACTGTGTTGAAAATTGAATTATTAATGAATAATTCAATTTTTATGCTTACATTGTCTTCACTAAAAAGTAACCGTTAAGTGAATGAATGTGCTTGACTTCAATAAGTAAAAGTAAGTAAATTTACTGTAAACATCGCGTGCATTCGATTGCGTATGAATGTAATTAAAACTTTATATATTGGAAGGAATATTAAGGAATGTTCGATATTCAAAGTCGTCGAAACAATAAGAATTGTGGTATTGTATAGCAATAAATACATTAAATACGTTGAATAATAAAAAAACTGATTTTTATATATTTATCTTCGCAATGATCAATAATATGGAAAAATGATCGGTTGAAATGTTTATAAAATGAAGTATACAGTATGCATAACTATTGTTATCTATTTAATTAAGTCACTTTTTCCATAATTAAGCCTTTACCCACTTAAAAATTACGAATCAGAAAATAAATAAATAAATAATTTCAATTCAAATACCTACTTTTGAAAATATTATATATATATATATATATATATATATATAGAGAGAGAGAGAGAGAGAGAGAGAGATACGCGCGCGCGCGCGCGTGTGTGTGTGTGTGTGTATATAGATAATATTTCAATGTGTCTAAAAATGAATTATTGCTTGCTTTGTTATTCTTTGAATCATAATATTTTAGTGAATGAACAGACTTGCGATATTAATATAAAATTCGAATAACCATGCAATAAAAAAATACCCGGATTTTTATATTGAAAATTTTCATTCCTACGTTCTCTTTCGCTATTCGCTAGATTTTTACATTATAGACATAAGCTTGACTAATCATTTGATTAGATACAGCGAATTCAGCGAATCTCCCGATCCTTTCTTCTCGTCCTCAATTCCACCTGCCATAAATCGATTATTGTCGGATAAATAAATTGTTGGGATTTATTTTTATAGAGAGCCGGGAGATGGTGATTTAATGCAAATTCAACATTAATATATAACGTAAGCACATGATTTTATTTCGTCTCATATCGATACGATTGAAGTAATTTCAACGTAGAAGTGTTTGTGTCGTCATTCAATCGCACCACACATACGCTATATCGCAAATAATACAGACGTAATAAAGCACATACCAGCCATGCGCATAAATCATGGCACTGACTTACTGGCTTTTAACTTTACTCGCGAGGTTCGTGTTTCCTGTATGTTTGACTAGATAAAGTAAAGACTTTCTACTTGGTGAGCGAACCTCGTGATTCTTATCTAATTGCGTAGCGGTAACGTACGAGTATCAATTACTTTGTCAGTTGGCTTTAATTTTACCTTTTTCTTTTATCATTGTGCGCAAATTTTTCATCTCGTAAATGTTCAGGGAAAGGGGGAAAGTTATAGAGATTCGGATGCGGTAATTACGTCTGATGCTTTGTACGACAGATTTCTTATTTTCAATAATTCTGTCAAGCCAATGTCGTTTGAGTTGATACGTTTGCGTCGATTGCGCCATAAGTCGAGTTTGCAAATTATTTCTTCGATCTTACTGCATCGACGCGAAGGAATATGTAACACGCATATGTTACAAGATTTTATAATCCTTAATAAACTGATTAATATGTTTGAGGTGAACGAACGATACCGAGAGATGATAATTTTTTTTTTATTTACACGAGAGAATAATAAAATGTTATTATTAAGTTATGAAAACAGGCTTAAGGAAATAAATTTCCTATGAAACATAAAATAATATTATTTAACCGCCACTTATTTACACTAAATATAATTATCCAAATAAAAGAAATTTTGATTGTATCGTGTTTAAAATATAATTTAATATCGAAGAGACTTGAGAAAAATTTCTATATTAAATATTATGCATGTAATAAATCAAAATTCTGTCATATTTATTAAATCACCATTTATTTCATTATACCAACAATTTAATGTATATTTATCTTATATCTGAGTGTATATATTTAAAATATTATGAAAAGAAAAAAAAAACATAAAAAGAAAACAAAAAAAAATT